GTCCCAGGGGGAGGCAAGTTTGCTTAGCAGAAAAAAGCATAGGCTGAATTCAGATTGCAGAAGGGGGCAGGAATGGGAGAGGTGAACATCATAGACAAGAGTATGGCACCAGGGAAGGTTTGGGATGGTGTCGGGAAGCGAGGCTCCTGGCTGGTCTGAGCAGAGGCTTGTTCAGGGATGGTGGACTAGTATGTCGGTTAGAACCAATGGCGTCCATAATGGAGGGTCTTCAATGCCACATTAATTGCTTTTCAATGTCCAACTGATAGATGATTTCTATACCAAAAATGAGGGATTTTCCACTTGTATAGGATTCCATTAAATAGTGCCATTCCACCCTCCAAACCCCACCCCCACCCCTGGCATTTGCAGGGATGGAACTGGTGGTGGAGACTCCAGGCTGGAGGCTGCCCATGAAAACCAGATGAGGCTGGAAAGGGGAGGCTGTGGGATGATGGAGGTGGTTCACCAGCTGGGCTTCTGTCTTCCTCAGTCTCCCCTGGGCAGACGAAGAGCCCATTCTAAGCCCATTGAGGAGCCAGTGGTGCAGCCTGTTGAGCAGAAACTGGAAGACCCTCAGGTCTCTGGGGAGTTGGGCACGGAGGTGACAGGCAGGGGCGGCAGGAAGCCTGGAGAAATTCTTTCCCCGCCTGAGTGGAGATCTGAACTCCCAGCCATCGATCCAGAGTGTGCCAGCCTCATGCCACTTGACTGCCAGCCTCATGCTGCTTTGGTCACCATGATACCTCTGCCAAAGCCACCTTCTTCAGAGCCAAAGCTGGGCCTCCAACCAGAACCCACGGTCAAGTTCCTGTTTACACTCCTGAGCGAAGTGGAGCCCCCTGAGCCGAAAGACCCTAAAGAGTAAGGCTGTGTGAGTGTGAAGGTGAGGGAGGCCAAAGGTGCTTCTCCCTGTCCCCCGCATCCCACCCCATATTAACACTCAGACCTGGGCCAGGACTCAGCCTGGGTGGGCAGATAGGACTGAAGGAGCCTAGGCCTTGGGCTGCCCCCTGGCGTCTGACCACTCCATTCTCTCCCAGCCTATTGGTCCTCCAGTCCTACCCTCACTGCAAACCCATCCTAGGGACTTGGCGATCCAGGAGAGCAGGTTCCTGGATGAGGAAGACTGGGGCGCCCAGCAAACCTTGAAGGAAATTAGCCATTTGCAGAATGCTTGCATGAGGTGAGCAGGTCTGAGCAGGTGGGTCACAGCGTTTTTCCCCAGGGAGGCCAGGGCCTGGGGCTTGGGGGCTGCGAGTTTGCACCTTCACTTGCCCTCTTCCTTCCCTCCTCCCTTTTCTACTCTGGATGACCTCCTTGCCGGCCAGCAGGTTTATCCCTCCCAAGCATCAATTTCCTTCTCATATGGTGGGACCCGCCCCACAGGTGTGGGGGCCACAGCTCTTCCCCATCAATTGACTGTGTGCCCACAGGCCTGGTTATTGGGCAATCTATAAGGCTGCCTATTAGGGACCCCAACTTTAATTGTTCAAGAACTTGAGGGGTAGTTTGGCCTGTGGTAGAGGGGTTCTGTTCTCTGCATGTCAGGCTCTGGAGCTTGGGTCTGCATGATCCCATGACTGTTTATCTATCTGTGATAATGCCAGGGTCAGATATCTCCTTGGAGACAGAGGTCTATGCTGGGTGTGGGGAAGGTGTGATACCATTTCCCCAGGGCCGCACGTGGGCTCTCAAGGCCATGGTTCTGAGTGGTCAGCGCTTTTGTTCAGACACAGCTGACTCAGAGTGCTCAGGCAGCGCCAATTCCACACAAGAATCCCACAGAATCTTGTCGCGATCCCACTGCAGCCTAGTGGGGTGGAGTGGCTAGCCCTTTGCTGCCCCCTTGCAAAGAGGACCTTGGGCGCTTTCTATGCCACCTGTGTGATGAAGCAGCCTGCCCTTCTCACCTATGGCTTTGCCAGGACAATATGAGGGTGCAAAAAATAACTTCTAGCTGGGCTAATAATCAGATTAACATGAGACAGATTAACAGGCAAAAATGTCCAAAATTTATTACCGATGTACATGCGGGGGAGCCTAAGAGGTGAGACCCGGAGATACACTGGTTAGAGGTTAATGTGCCATTCTGGACTAAGGAGAGGCAGGCAGGGGTCTGGGACTTCAAAGGGAATGTAGGCAATTCAGGGAGATGAGCAGGAGCAAGCATTTGGTAAACCAATCCTTGCTGGGCCACCCAGAAACAATGGGACAGGCCTTGCACAGTTCCCTTCCTTTAAGCAGGTTTTTCTGTGCAACTTCCTTTAGGCAAGTAAGGGGAGGATCAAAGTTTCTGAGTCCATTGTTTCTTAACCAGCTTTAAAATCAGTACCCCAAAAGGCAAGTTTGGGGTGGCAAAACTGGTACCCCTAAACAAGACTGGGGGCTTTGGGTGAAACCCCTGTCTCAGGTGGCTGTGCCAGGTCACACAGCTTATGGGGGGTGGGGCTGCCTAGAACAAGAGCCTGGGGACTGAGGAGGCGTCTTTCAACCCTAGGCTTCAGGAGTCGCTGAGCAGTATTCAAGCAGATAACCTGGCCTTGGGGGAGAAGCTGCAAAACCTGGTAAAACCCTCAGCCCAGGACCCCCTTCCTTTTCCAAGCCTCCTTCCTGCCTCCCAGCCCAGCTCCCGTGCTGGGGAACCGCACACAGTCCTGCCCAGGTCAGTTACCCACCTCTGGCCCCTGCAACCCTTTATTCTAGCCCAGCTTGTTGTATGAGATCCTGAGGGAGGAAGTAAAGACTGTCCAGGAAGAAGGGAAGGCCGTCCAGGAAGCAGGGCTGTTTCAGGTGGACAGGCAGCCCCATGGCGAGTGGTGAGGGAGGGCACACCTCTTTCCCCTTGCCTGCAACAAGCCAGCACCCAGAAGGCAGCATTGCTCACCCCGTAGCCTGCCACTGCCCATGACCACAGAAACCAATGGCAGCCTTGGATGGCCCGAGGCCAGAGACTGGACACCTCCTCAGAAAGCCACTCCAACAGCAATAAACTTCCCCACAGCCCAGCAGAGGCTCCTCAGTGTGTCTGTGTGCCCTGAAAATCGGGTGGAGCGGGAGACCACCAGCTCTAAACTGAGCTTGGTCCCTGGACTGCCCTCTGATGTCTCCCCACCTCCCTGGGTTTGCTGGTTCTGAGCTGCTCCCAACCCAGAGGAGGTTCCAGGCCTGGTTAGTGTCAGCCCCAAGGTCAATGTACCTGTGATAAGCGCTGGGGCAGGACTGGAAGGGGCCGCACCCCCTTTTGAAGATGATGGAGGCACCAGGTCTGACTCCAAAGTGCAGGTGTACTAGGGAGGGGCAAGAACTGCCTCCCACTGTGTGACCCCGCTGGGTAAGTCTCTTCCCCTTTGTAAGTCAGGAAATGGGGATGGGGGGGGGGGGCGTATTA